CGGCATCAAACGAGAGGAATGTGACGGACGCTTGAAATTCTCCTGCAAAATGCATGAGGTGGTTTCCAATTTTTATGTAAACTACTAGAGGTACAGGCCTTTGAACATCTAAAATCCAAGCTTACCAAAGAAGAAGTGAAAGTGGCAACTGGTGATTGGGAAGTTGGTCAAAGAGCAACGAAGAGGCTGGTGGAATGGTGCAAGGACCAATTGAGAAGAAAGGAGCCTATCCATCTACATAACCAAATTCTGTACACAGTGCACGAACCGGCGACTCTACCTTGGTTTCACAATATTCCCTTGTGTCATAGGTGTGGAGTGCCTTGTCCAAGCTGCACTTCTTCTTGTCCAAAGAAGAAGTGAAAGTGGCAACTGGTGATTGGGAAGTTGGTCAAAGAGCAACAAAGAGGCTGGTGGAATGGTGCAAGGACCAATTGAGAAGAAAGGAGCCTATCCATCTACATAACCAAATTCTGTACACAGTGCACGAACCGGCGACTCTACCTTGGTTTCACAATATTCCCTTGTGTCATAGGTGTGGAGTGCCTTGTCCAAGCTGCAGAGACGAACTAGGTTCCGATTTACCTTCGGAGATGTCAACAGCACAGGCAATAGTATGCTTTGATGCCATTCACGAGGACCAAGATCTACTAGTAGATTTAGATAACGACAATGATGACGGAGTTACATCTAGCAAAGACGAAGAGCCGCCTTTACACGTAAGTCCAATGCAGCTACGATTGGGAAGAGGAAGTAAAAGCAAGCAGCAATACTATGGACCGGACTTTTTAGTTGGGAAGTTATTAGGTCTTATTACAGTTAACATAGGTAGAACATAACCCCATATGGCCTCTAAAATTAAATTAGAAAGACCATAAATGAATAGACCTATTTAGTTTTGCAACACGTCAAGTGGTATTACTCTAAAGGACTTTTTTTTTTCTTAAAGATTATGTGGTATTGACTTGCATTCACAGGATTTATGGACGACTAGGGGCCTGTTTCGTGAAAGCCCCAATAATTAACGGGACTGTAAAGCTGTTGTTGTTGTTTACGTGCAAGATAGTGGTTTTAGTAGTTTTGCATCTAACATGGTAAAACTATCAGTTAAGTTAATGAAACAAAATGGAGCAGTTTGCTAGCTAGGATCCGGGCTCTTATTCTTTATATTTCGATTTGAAGAGTTGATTTCAGGCCCGAAATGTTACCAGGACTATCGAGAAACGGGCCCCAGCTCGGGTAATTAATACCCCTGGGACTGTCATTAGGAATAACGAAACCACTGGGAATTTTTTTGGTGGGGTTGTGCATTCCAGTTCCCTAAATCCTAACCCTATTTCAGACAAAAATGTCATTTTCAGCCCCGGATTTCGGACCTGGCTCTAAAATCCACTACATCTCATTCCTTTGATGACAACAAAAATAGTTCTTTCTCTCTAATTTGACTGAACTTGAAAGAAACATTTCTTTCATAAAACTCCCTTTAGTTTCCTCGAAAACCATAGCAATACCAGAGTCTATACCATTCCCTTTTGAGGGAGCACATATCTGTATGCCAGCTATGAGCTTCCTTTAGTGTTCTAGGAAACGCAGCGGACCACACCGTATTCGCATTGTAACTAACTTTATTCTCCCGCATTCTAAGAATATATATATACATCAATCACGTGCTTCTTGATCAGTCCAATTACGTCATCCTAGATATCACATCACAATCATTCGCAGAAACACTAAATCCCTCCCTTGATTGAATCTAAAACTCAGCTATAATCAGCAAAGCTATTTTCTGGCTAATAGACGAAACCAACACAACTTGAAGTATAAATCATATGTAATGTTCTTCAGATTTGTCAATGTTCAGTTCTTAGTGATTTTTGAATTAAATGTTCAGTTTAGTTGAAACTCATTCCAATAAGCAGGCTTAAATTGTTCATAATTGAAAATCATTCAGATAAGCTGGCGGATGCCTGACACGAACAGGTCTCCGTGCATCCTGGTCTACTGCCGGGGGAAGGTCCCCATTCGGGTCCCCTGCCCGTGGGAGGTCCTCATCTATCTCGTAGTCATCCTCCTCCTGAACAGCAGTGCTCCGGTGTAGCTTGTGTACATGCGACACATTGCGCATGAACACACGGCCTCCTCCTCGTTGCAGAATCAAACTAGGCCCCTTACGCTTTAGCACTGTATATGGCTCAGGGTCGTATCGGGTAGACAGCTTGTTCTGCCTCGCTTGTTGTAGCAGTACTTTGTCACCAGCCTTGATGTCTGAGGGACTTGCTCGGTTTCGCTTGTCCGCATACGCCTTTGTGCGCTGCTTTGCTTGTTGATCTTTGATCTTAGCTGACTGTAGTGCAGCGGACAGAACATTAGACATCTGGGTTTCAACTTGGGGCACTTTTGTTCTGATTTCTCTTCCCAGATGCAGACGTGCGGGGACACTCCGGTAGACGCGCGAGGCGTCGCCGCGGTAGTTAAGAAGGAAGGTAAACATGTCTGTGCACCAGTCCTTGCCTTCAGCATGTGCAGTGCGGATTGCTTTCTCGATTGTCTTGTTGAATCGCTCAACTTCTGCATTGGCCTGCGGCCAATAGGGCGTGACTTTACGATGTTTGATGCCATGTGTCCCCAGGAAGGTCTCAAATTCCTCTGATACCAGATTCGCTCCATTGTCTGTCACTACTTTTTCTGGCAATCCATGTACAGCAAATATCTTTCGAAGATGTCCAATGATGGCCGCAGATGTAGTGGAACGCAGAATCACTACTTCTGGCCAACGTGTACACGCATCTTCACAGACTAGCAAACTTTCCCCAGACGGAAAGGGTCCACAGAGGTCTATATGCACCTCTTGCCATGGTTTTTCAGGCATCACTGTCGGTCGGAGTGGCTCCACTGTAGACTTGGCCGCAACAGACTGACAGGGTAGACAAGCCTTGACCATGGTCGCCACCTGTTGCCCGATGCCTGGCCACCACACTTTCTCTCTTACCATTTGTTTCGTCCGCACAATCCCTTGGTGCCCCTCATGTGCGTTGGAAAGAGTTGCCTGCCACAGAGTACTCGGCATGACAATGCGAGGACCTTTTAAGATGAGCCCATCTTTCACACACAGTTCATCCTGGACCCGCTTGTAAGGCTTGAGGTCTGGTGCGTCTGGCCACGCAGATCCGCTCAAACAACATTTCACTTGTTGTAGTATCGGGTCCGTCTCAGTCGCAGTCACAATCTGCTCAAGGGTGAGCGCTTTTGGAACCGCATTCATTGCGACATAGTTTATGTATTCCTCCGCAATGTTCCTTTCCCGGAACGGCTGGTTATCCAGCGGCAATCGCGAGAGTACATCTGCTGGGTTTGTCTTTCCCGCCATGTGCACGATAGTAAACCGCACGCGGTTGCAGGCGGTGCCCATCTTTCAATCCGTGGCGGCGGCTTTGACTTTGGACTGTAGATGATCTCCAGCGGCTTGTGATCTGTGTAGAGGGTAAACGGTTTGCCGTACAAGTAAATATGGAAGCGTTCGCAGGCCACACCACTGCCAGAGCCTCTTTCTCGGTCTGCGAGTATCGCCTCTCAACATCGGTTAGCGTACGACTAGCATATGCCACAGGGCGAACATTGCCCTCACTCCGCTGGAGTAAAATCGCACCCAAGCCCACTGGACTAGCATCCACTTTCAGTTCAGTGTCCGCTGATTGATCATAATGTGCAACAACACAGTCACTGGTAAGAATGACTCGAAGGCGATCAAATACCTCCTGTTGGGTTTTACCCCAAACCCACTCTGTATCACTCCTTGTAAGCTTCCGTAATGGCTCCGCAAGTGTCGCGAAATTCGGGATGAAGCGTGCACAATAATTCACCAGTCCGAGAAAACTCCGCACTTCTGCTGCATTCTGTGGTGTTCGTGCATTCTTCACTGCATCTACCTTCTTGGCATCGGGTGCTATTCCATCAGCGGAAACTTTGAATCAAAAAAACTATTTCTGGTACACTAAAAATACACTTTTCCGGTTAAGTGTAAGTCCCTTGCTTTTAAGGCGTGAGAGTGTCAGTTCTAAGCTCCTGTCGTGACTCTCCTGGTCAGATCCAAACACAATGATGTCATCGGAAATGTTTCGTGCTCCGGGAATTCCTTGTAAAGTTTGCTGAATCACATATTGGTACATTTCCGGTGCAGATGACAAGCCAAATATCAAGCGTTTGTAACGCTTAAGTCCTTTATGTGTTGAGAACGTAGTAAGAATTCTAGATTCTGGGTGTAACTCAACTTGGTGGTAGCCCCAGCGCAAATCGAGTTTTGAAAACACAGCAGCTCCATTTAGTGCTTGCAACGTTTCCTCGAGTGTTGGTATCGGATGTCTCTCTCTTATCACCGCGTCGTTCGCCCGACGCATGTCAACACAAACCCGCACGTCACCATTGGATTTTGGGACTGCCACTAAAGGCGAAACCCCAAGGCGTTGGGCCCTCGACATCCTCAATAATATCGAGATCGTGCAGCTCCTGAAGCTTTTTCTCCACATCTTTGCGAACATGAAATGGCACGCGACGCTGCGGTTGGGCGACTGGCGTGACTGCTGGGTCAATGTGTATCTTTAACTGATAATCTTTAAGTTTGCCGACACCATTAAACACTGCATCGTGTTTGTCAACAATTGCTTGAACAGACCCCACTGTAACCTGGTTAATGGCACGCGGGTAGTCCGGTCCAACTCTGAGCAGACCAAGCTGTATGGCCGTTTTCTTTCCTAGAAGAGACCCCGCGTGTACATTTTCAACTACCACAAAGTCAGCCTGTGTATGAAATTCAGGCGTTGACACAGTGGTGTGGAATGTTCCTCTGACAGGAAGCGGCGTTTCCGACCCATATGGGTAAATCTTGACATTAGATGGTCGGAGTGCAATTCCTTTCGCTGACAGTTTATTGAATGTAGAACCATCCAGCACATTGACGCTAGCCCCGGAGTCAATAATAACAGGAATTAACGTATCTTCCACAGTTATCGGAACAGTTTTTTCCGCCGGTTTGTTGCTCCCAATAGCAAACAAATACTCATCGTCAGAGGTGTCATGTTCGGTTGCCACATACCGAATTCCAGTTCGTTGTTGCGTAACAGGGCGAGACTTCGGGTCTTTAACCGCTTGTTTCGCTCCTTTGCAGACTCCACCAAAATGCCCTTGCTTTCCACAGTTATTGCAAGTTCTTCCATTCGCAGGACATGAAGGATCTTTCGCTTTGTGGCCCGCACGACCACAACAAAAACACACCAACTGCCTCGTGTCGTGGCTCTTGAATCTCGGATGCTTCGCATTTCTTTGTTGACGCGACCCAGAATTTCCTCTATGCTGTCGTGTCTGCTGAAAACCAGTCGAAATTTGGTTGACTTGCTGCTCTGAAGGTCCCGAAGCTGCTTCCATTGTAGTGGCATGCAGATCAGACGCTTCAATTGATCGAACAATTAAGTAAAATTCCATCTAGCGTAAGATCAGTTTCCCGTAACAGTCGACCGGCGAATACTGTTCGAGGCGCATTTATCAACTACTTGGTCTCGAATCATTTCATCGACTTTGTCGTAATCACAGGATTTTGCAAGGCTCCGTAGACGAGTAACGTACGCGTCGATACTTTCAGTCGGCCCTTGCGCTGCCTGCCGAAAAGCATGTCGCTCAAACGGAATGTTTTTCTTTGGCTCGAAATATTCGGTCAGCTTGGCCAATGCCGTATCATAGTCTTCTCCTGTATCGCTGAGAGTTGCGAACACCGTTTGAACGTCAGCACCTGCCAAATGTAGAAGGACAGCGCGCTTCTGTTTCTTCTCAGTAATGTTCGATGCAACTAGGAAATACTCCAAACCTTTCACCCATGTAGACCAGCGCTGCCCGAGCGTCTTTTGGTCTGTAACCGAGAAAGGTGGTATTGCCGGCAATTGTAACGTGGTCGCCATCTCCGTTACCTGCTGCTCGTCACCAGAAGTCGGCATAGGTGCATCCTCGTCGCCAAATTTAGTGTTCTAGGAAACGCAGCGGACCACACCGTATTCGCATTGTAACTAACTTTATTCTCCCGCATTCTAAGAATATATATATACATCAATCACGTGCTTCTTGATCAGTCCAATTACGTCATCCTAGATATCACACTTCCCCCACCCCACACCCTTCAGGAACAAAGCATACATGCTGAAAAGGTCTTTTCAATTAAACGGTAGTTGAAATGTCTTTGCTTTCTTTTTTAGTTGATTACTCAGTAGATTATGATAGCAAGGACCAGTGCTTGTACAAGAGTAATAATACTCAGATTTGAAGTTCATGCTATTGACAGCAACGACAGAATGATTCCACTGTTTAGTAATTTTTTTTTTTAAGATCTTGCCTGTTGCTGGTTCAAGCCACATTACCGGGATTTAATCGTTTAGGAATATTTTTCACTAAATATTGTTAGTTCTGATTTGTGTCATTTCTACTCTATTGCACTATTTCTGTTGAAAGGAACATCGTGCTCTTTTTTCACACACCAGCAATGAAGTTATGAAGTGATAGTTGGACTCTGCAGGGTACAATTTTGGGCTAAAATCATACATTTGGCCTCCTATCCTCCTCACACTGAGTGCTTGTGATTTCAGACCCAATGGCACTTCCCTAGTTCCATAACTGTACCATTATTCCGGTAATCATGCTCTTGAAAAGGGGCCATGATGTCACCTGATTATTCTACCCAATCAAGAATGTCTGACGACAACATAATTATACTCTTTTACTTAAGTACACGGACTTTACACGTTTATTGCTTTTTAAACATTAAGTGAAATGTAACTTCTATTAATATTGCTTTCAACAACAAAATTCACTCTACAATTAATAAATGTTGTATAATTATGCTACATATATATAGGAGCATCTGTTTAGGCACCATAACCAGATATCAGACCAGGTTGAGCATAGAACATACAATAATATATAGATTTAGCCAGGGCTAAAAGCGAAGCTCCCTTTAATAAATTTATAATTTAAATCAAACAATAAACTTGTATTCCAAAATTCAGATAACTTTACAACACATTCATGTGACTTTTGAAGGAAAGGCGAAGAAAAATATTTTGCAAAGAACCGCCAAGAGTGAAGCAAATCTTACATCAAGTTTACAGCCTCATATGTACACCCAAAAAATAGCAACCATCTTCGATCACATTTAAGAGCCATAATGGGCAGGCTCTTGATCACCGTAGATTAATTAGGCCTGGAAAAAAAATCAGGCCGAATTCTTTGTGTTCGACAAGTTTACTTTACAAAATCTTGCCAACAAATCTGGGTGAGTGAAAACCAACCTTTTTACCATTTGTACATCCCATCTGAGGTGAAACAGTGCTATGAGGCACTGTTTTTATCATACAGACCTCTGACAGAAAGCAGTATTTCACAATTTTGAAATACAAATTACACATTCAATATTCAGGACGATTGAAGCACGCCTGGGCTTTTAGCTAAACCGTTAAAATAATTTCCAAAATCACCTATACGGCCAGCCGGTTCTCGCTTTTGCAGCTCATGAGCAGTGGTCGACTGTTTAAGGGCCTCTTCATATGAGCCAGTTTGACCGGGCTGGCTCGGTTACCGGGATAAATTGTGCCTTGGGTTCATATGAGAAATTTCAGCCCGGTTTCCGAGGTGAGGAAAAGGTCAAAGATCCTGGGGACGAGTTCTGGCGCCAAATTTGGGAAACAGAGCAAATATGGCGAAACAAAAATTTTAACTTTTGGGCCTATCTTTAAGCATCGGTAATTCTTAAAGCTGTATCATGGCAGTTAAATGGGATGCTTATGATGTGTAAAATACAGCAGGCAATGCAAGACGATGTCATCCGAACCGCCAGAATTCATCCCGCCATTCATCCTGGTAACCGGGCTGAAGTGCTCATAAGGCAAAATTTCCAGCCCGCTTACCGAGATCTCGGGAAACGAGCCAGCCCGCCCTCTCATATGAACGCATTGAAAATTTTACAAAGGATTTAGAGGTGAGGCAAGATCTCGGAAACCGGGCTCATATGAAGAGGCCCTAAATGAACATTGACAGAGTTTCGATCCAACACAATAAAGAATTTATTATGTTTTTTTTGTTGTTTATTTTATCGATGTGTAATCTTCAAAAGCGTTTGACACGTGCGGCAGTTTGAGTACTCGTGAAAGCGATGTTGACACTGAATGAGTGAAAACAAACGGCACAGCGATTAAAATTACAATAGAGACTACTAACAATCAATAAAAGAAATATAATTCGGTGAAACATATACAGAGACAACAATTTTCATTCACGAAGACAAGTATTAAAGTGTCTCTAAGAATCCTGAGTCTTCAAGCTTAAGCTTAAAAGCCGGCTTCCCGGTGTTTGCTATTTTCAAAGATGAACTTGAGGCAAGAAAATCGCTCAAAGCTTTCTTTTACAGCTAGGATTATAACTAAATATTCTTTGAAACGTTTTCTTTCTATTTGCGGTGAGAAAATGTCTAAAGACTTTTTAAAGTTCTGTAAGCTTATATCAAACCTGATGCTGGGTCAGATCATTGTTGCAAATCTTACAAACGTGCATAAACTACGCTCGACTTCATTGAATTAGATATAATAGCTGTAGAGTTTAAAATAAAGTTTGCCAGGTTTGTCTTTAGAAAATCTGAAATGGTGGAACTTTTTGATGTTTGGAACCTTGACGAAGTACTGTTCCAAGAACGCTGACCAATTATAAACCGGCACAATGACTTTCCCATCGTGTGTTGCAACAAGCTTGGCTTTGTTTACTCCAACAGTGCTGGACGACTCAACCATCTGGGCAAGTTCATACAGAGAAGAAACGTAACTAACTTTGTATGATCTCTTGATGATTCCAAAGCAACGATCGGGACCAAACTTTGTGTGACTGGCAATTAGAAAAGAATAACAGATTGAGTCATGAAGTTGATGTATTGTTCTCCATGCCAGGTACCAAAGGAAAAAATTGTTCTTATTCTGTCCGGAACAGTTGTCAGCATGAAGTTTAACATGAGTTTCGCCAAGACCATGGTTGTGAAAGTAATGGTGAACGAAGCTTATTGTAGTGTTTGCCGTTTTACCAACGTCACTTGCTTCGTCAATTTAATAGTTAACTTGGCGAGGGATCGCTTCGCACATGACGCCGAAAATTCCACCTTTCCGTGGCGTTTTAAAGTAGATCAGGCCTGGCTGCATCGGGTTACGGGGGATGTGAACCTGCTGGGCAAAGTCAGATGAGTAGTGGATGGTTGTGTCAAGGGAACGTGCGTCGTGTAGATCATCCAGCTCGATTGCCTCTTCAAATTGCTCAAAGTTGGTTTTGGCCTCCGCACAAGCGTTCCTGTAGAAATCTCTCTCTGTCTGTACACAGTCTTAATGTTCTTGCTGAGCCAAGATGCACTCGGACTCCTCCCGATCTGGAAGGTTCGCAGAACGCACGAGTTTTGATGTGTTTTGCTGGCAAGTAAGGCACAAGTCTGTCATAGGCTTGGCGACGACAACACTAGCATGAAACTGTTCCCATAATTTTAAAAATGTGGTGTAGCAAACAGCTTGTTTTCCCGTTTCATCGCATGTTCTTTTAAACGCGCGCCACACGCTCATTTTCATGTCTGACGGAGAGAGCAGACAAATGTCATCTTTTTTGAATCCTGGGATTCTGCCGGGTAGGAGAACAGCATTTTCTTCAACGTAGTTAGTTAGGAAGTTCTTGACGTCCTCGGTTACGGTTTGTGGCAACGTGTTGTGAGGTAGCCTCTTGCGGTTTCCATGTACTCTTTGACAGATTCCGTGTTCTTCATAGTGTTCTTTTAATCTGCGAAACCTTGAGTAGCTTATGCCATAAGTGTTTAAGAACATTTCTTTACAGATCGGACGGTTCAGGTAAAGAAAATTGCAGCGCGCACTTCGCTTTCTTTTTTCCCCAATGACATCGATCATCGTGAACTTTTGGATGTTCGCCAGTATGACGAGGTCGAGTTCTCCATGTGATAGCTCCAGGCAGTTGTTTAAATTACACAGCACAACTTCTTTCTGAAATTGCTGAGAACAGTAGCCACCTTTCACACCCTGAGAACACCCGCATCCTTCTTCTAGAAACTTCTTAACTTTTTCTACGATTTCCTCGCTGTCAAGTAAGTTATCAGCTAACTCGTATTCCGCCATGGTCTTTCCTTAGAGTTTGATAATTGCAAATACGAGTGGCAGGCGAGTTCACAGTGTAGTTGTCACGACATCGTGCCCACATGTCCAAGTGATTGATACGGATTGGCTGTTGTAATGATGTTGCGTTACCTGTCACGGCTGTTTAGAACTCTATGCAAATTTTGGCCAGTTTTTGCAGAGCAGCTCAGAGTCATGCTTGAATGAGCAACAACAATGTGTCCTTGCAGTTTCTTTGATTTAAAAAACTGTTTGAAAGTCTAAAAAAGTCAGTGTGGGATAGCATTGTGATAACAAGTGAAGCTGCCAGAAGTAGAAGGAAAAAAAACTTGAATAGCAGTATTAAAAGAGTATGTATTTTAATTTTAGTAAACAATGGACTGGGTGGCATGTTTGCGGCAAACAACCACGACTGTCGGGCAACGCATTGATGAGTAATCTTGTATTTGGCGGTATTAAGGCATTTTTCGCTGTAAAGGTGAGCATTTAGCGAGCGGTTTGTGTAGCGAAAATAATAAACATTAATCTTTGGTCTGTTCCGTTCGCAGCCAGTCATTAACAGTCCGTTTGAAACAGTATATAAATAACTATTGCTAAAACATGAGCCGTTCTACAGTTGATGGTTATCTGTTAGTTCCATTCGCAGCCAGTCATGACAATCACTTCTCCCGTGCATGATCATCCGTTCAAAATTTTACTCCAGCCGTTCAGCTGTTCAGGTCTACTGTTCGAAATTTTACTCGTGCAGTTCAGCCGTTCAGGTC